TCTCTCTCTCTCTCTCTCTCTCTCTCTCTCTCTCTCTCTCTCTCTCTCTCTCTCTCTCTCTCTCTCTCCCTCCCTCCCTCTCTCCCTCCCTCTCTTCCTCCGTCCCTCCCTCTTCCCATATCTGGCCACAATCGCGACAGAAAATGGGATTACCGCGCACTCCAATAAATGACTAGCTAAAAACACAACTCAAAGTATTTCGGGAAAAAAATGGGATAACCACGCGCTCCAAGAAACGACAGGCCAAACTACTCTCTCTCTCTCTCTCTGGCTTCCTTATCGCCTCTGACATGGAGGTTTTATTGTCTACGTACACTCTCGCTCCACTCCTCTACACATGCAGGATGTATACTTTCGTTTTCTAGGGGAAGATTCATCATGGAGACTTTTTTTTTTTTTTTTTTTTGTAATGAGGAGTAGTTCTCAGTTTATGTGTGTCGCTCCAACTGCGGCGGATGCCCGAAGGACAGGCCCGTAGCTACAAAGGGTGTATACCGATTTTTTTTTTTTAGGCCGTATTTTGAAGATGGTGCCTAAAACCCATAATAGCATAACGCATGTGCGTTATATACGAATACAGCGCACATCATGCGTTGTATTCATATACAACACACGTGCGTTTTGTTCGAGGGAAGACTATAGCTCATGACATACTCACACTGGCACGTACAATCGCAAATTTTATGTGAGTCGATTTGCAATAATACATCATTTTCCAGTCACACATCACACCCATCACAAAACAGAAAGGACACAATTTAAACCTACTCTAGGAATGCGATTGTACGGGTTGAGGGGTTACACAACACGATGCATAAAAATTCATCCCTCTTTCCTTTTTTTAAAAAAAAAAATCTTACGAGAGTTGTCCACCAAACGTCGAATTCTTTTTTTTTTTTAAGAAAGAAACAAATTTGAAAAAATATGCAATTGCAATTGCGTGGACGTCCGGAGGTTCCCGCAAAGTACGTAACCCTGTGGTTGTCCAAACCGTTGATATTTACGTGCCCATTTGTGTGGAAACATAAAATACACACCCCTTGTGACAAAAGAAAACTCCTACGATTTACGACTTTATGAAAATACGTGTTCGTGTGAGTTTTCTCTTAATTGGTACACTCGTGAACTGTTGCAACACCTATCGAAGTTCGAGTTTAAATGTCGATCAAATAAGTGAGAACAACTATGAATTAAGGGTTTGTCATACCATTGTTGAATAGAGAAACCTCAACGGTTTGTAATGGTATTTAAACAGTTTGTAATGGTCTCTAGACAGTTTGTAATGGTCTCCTGACATTTTGTAATTGTCTTTTTACGGTTTGTAATGGTCATACAGACTGTCGCGATTCAAAAAATATTGTCTCACACCACTTTCGAAACAACCCTATACATCTACCTACATCATCCAAAGGTTTGGGAACCCTCTCATGACTCTCGAAAAACATGTTCAGGATGGTGGCACAAAAATTACGATTGACTAAAAACAAAATTGTCATCCATTAAATGCACACACTGCAGCTCAAAAATCACCACTCTATACAATGTTGTGTGGTGAAGAGGGGGGGTAACCGTCGAAACAGGAATTGTCGAGAAATCTCTAACAAACGTAGAAAGATACTCAGATTTAAGAAGCGTATCGGCAGACCTTCAAGGAAAATAATTTTAAATCGAACGGGGTATTACGCCTTTATAGTCGAGTTCATTTACAGTAGATAAATTAAGGAAAATAATTTTGAATCGAACGGGGTAAGTAATTCCTATAACATATTCATACTACCATTTTCTTAAACATGTTTTATGATAATTACGGTTATACATGTATGTGCCCGACCCTAATCACGTAAAAAATTCACTTCAAAATATCATAACATGATCATGAGCAAATTTAACAAGGTGAAGGATGTGGATATGATATTTTTCATATGTTAAAATGAGGAGTCAGAATATAAGATAAAGACGAAAAAGATAGAGAGAGGGAAAAAGAGACAGATAGATGTGAGAAGAGGTTGAGAGGGGGGAAGGGGGAAGGGGGAGAGGGGGGGGGAGACGATAGTCCATAAATTTTTAAATCGAGGACAATTAAAATCTTTATATTAAGAGCACGAGTTGTAGTTTAAGATTATTCTTAATTATTTTTGTCTTCGGGCGATAATGACAAAAACATATTTTTATGTCATTAAGTGTATTCCTCAGACATGATAGCATCAGTGGTGATATGCAACTGTCATGGAGTATACTTTATTTTTATACAAGCAATGAAAATATATATGCAATGCGAATGAAAATATAACATGATTACAACAATATGGCAATGACAGTCTTACTCTTCGTGCAAATGTGGACAATCGCATGCGCACATACATTACTTTGTAATGGTGAACATATTTGTGATTGAGTGAAGATAGGAAGAGCGAACGCAAGCGCGTTGCCGAAGCTTAAAAACACATAATCATCCCCGAGTGCAAAGCACAACACACTGGTAGAGCCTTCATAGCCTGAAGCCCAAACGAGGGGTCAAGTTCTCGAAAATTTTAAACAATACAGATCATACTTCGATCGTGTCTCATGCCATCGTATCCTGATAATCGTCAATATCCTAACCCTAACCCATCACTTCCCCGACGTGACCGACACACTAGCGAATTCCCCTACGCTGTGTTTTTATTGTCGCCAACGACGTTCTCAGGTGGAAGGCGACCCTCTTGATGGAAGTCGAGCCACAGTCAACCATTAAATACGGTTGATGTACTCATAGTTTTAGTCTATTCAACCTATTCCCCGATACCTTTCCCACTTTGGGTGTTCGTCGCTCGATAAAACGTCCCAAAGTATTGTTGAACATTTCCCTCGCGTAACCCAACAGTCTGAGCTCTCTACTAAGCGTCAGCAGGGACAATTCAACCGGTTCCACAGTAGTCGTACACGCATGAATCCTTAATAATGCACTAGTTATTACCGCCTTCTTTTGTTTTTTGTCAGAGTAGGACCCAAAACTTTGCATCGACTTATAACGAAATTCCTCACTCCAAACGTTGTCCTTCCCACACAAACATCGACATATCATCAACCAATTTTATCCATTGGGCCAGGTTCCTATCCTTACCCAAAGAGCCCATGAAACAAGCCTCATTGAACATGCACAACGGCAGGCTAACGAGGGGGTACTGCTTTTTCCTATCGACACCCCCATTACTTGCTTGATAATTTTTTATGCGGTCACCGGATACATATTATCCAACTCATACGACACGTACCTAACCACCTGCTTTGTACTAATGAAACCCACTTTCCTCCCTCTCTGTTTCACAAAGGACACTCCTTTCCCTCTCCTCTTAATGAACACCCTATGCCTCTCTTTCTTACCTAGTTCATCCGCCAGCCGGATTAACGCTCGCTTAATAGAAGAATGCGGGAGTTCATTAAACATTTCCTTAATATCGAACGACAACTCCTTCACACATCCTCCTTTCCCTTTAGATTGTGGCCACATTTAGACTTTTTCCATCTTACTTTTTAACTCCCCCGTCGACCTCCTGTTAATAAAAAAAATCATATGTAAAACACAGGCCACGTTGGCGAAGATTTCACAACGGCCTGTCGAGTAATAAAAGTCTCCAAAGTTCACTTGCATTTAACTAATTGGAGCTTATTTATCCTCAAATTGAAGTGGCACGAAGGAGGCAGCAGTAGCATCATACCATTCAGTGCTTTAGATATTCTTAGGTGGCTAGATGGCTCAAAAGTAGGAA